GTGATTATTTACAGAATTTACTACTAACTTACTTTCTGACATTTTAATTTCCAAGTTTATTTAAAATTAATTACATACATCTTAATTTCAGTAATGTAAGTATGCAAGTGCTGCGTGTTCAGCACAGGAAATATCACTTACTCAAGAGAACTAAAATAAGTTGGGTTTAAGTAGTTTTCTTCCTTTTCACCTTGTCTCCTACTACAAACAGAACCTACAAGTGAAGAGAAAACACATTTTCTAGCAAAATCTTTTCTGCAAGTAAAATCTTTAATAGAATGTTAGTGCAATATTATAAAAATCCCTTGAAAATTTAAGGCTTCCACAATTCCTAATGAATTATAAACAAAGTTCCAAAACCTTAGGAGCAGATTTCCAACAACAGAAGGAACAGAGAAGGTTGCATTTCCAGCTCCTTAAAACAGAGTCCTTCCCTTCACAAATAAAACCTGGAAGGTTAAAACCTGTATAGATATGCCACAGAATCACACTAAGATGAAAAGATAAGCAATGGAAGGGTTGATGTTAATTTGAATCTAGGAAGAGCAGAAAAAATTCCCTTTTCAGCAAACCTTACAAACATTAAGTAAGTGCATGGCTATTCTTCTCAGATACTGTCTACTGATAGAATCGTGACACTGTGTTTTATTCTTATATTAAAAAATAGTTTATTTCTCCAGGACAGACTCTGCTTCCAGCAGCTATACTGGTATATCTATACGACTATAGTCATATAGTTTGGTTTACTAAACATCTACTAATTTTTGCTTCACCAGAGAAAGGCCACAATTCATTGCTAGAGCTAATACCACCGAAGAATTGGCAAATATTAGAAGTGCTAACTAGCCTAAAACTCCACAGCAGAAGTATCTAATTCAAAGGGAATTGTGTTTGAAGACACCTTCATCAATTCTCTTTCCAAGAGGTCACAATCTTTTTCTCCAAGATACATATAAGAAGTTTAAAAAATGAAAGTTGCACATAGATATTTGTGCTACAGCACAATACGGTATTGACATATTTTGTCAACACACTTAAAAAAACCCTCCCGTAACAGCTATAGTCAAGAGCAGCACAACCTCTGGGAGCCAACAAAGTCAGCCCTTAAAGTCTGCTGGCTCTTCTGGTGGTATCCTGTCTGCTGCTCAGGACACTGGGAATAAATTGCAAGGGTCTTTCTGCGGTGGCAGCACTCAAATTGCAAATGTTCTCTGCAACTACACAAGGAAAGAAATTACACCATAGCACTGCAAAGCCAAATAAAGACCCTGAGAGCAAAAAATTCCAAAATTGCCTCAAATGTACACTTTTTGTTGACATACAGGGAATGCAGTTAAGTCCCAGAAGAAGTCTGGTGGTGCTCAGGAATAAGAACTATGGGCTGGTAACACCATGTATTTCTCAACTGAGAAGAGAAACAGGAAAAGGGCAAAGAAATGCTTTAGAAAACACCTAGGCTACAGAACAACCTACACAGAGCAGTTCAGCTCAGAAAAGCAACAACATCCATCAGCTAGGGCTCCATTTATTGTTGTTACAAACACAAATTGAAGTCCCAGCTCAAATTCAGGTGATCCAGAGCTTTATATATTCTTGCAGGACAAAGCCCTAGAAGTTTAAGTACTAAAAACATTTTCAAGTAAAAAGCAGAGAGAAGGAGGCAGACCACACGAAAATTTCCAACTACCTTGGGTAAACAGGAGTTTTAAAACTTTTTACAACATTTTACCAATCTGTTAAAAAAAACCAGGATAATAATGTCACAGGCAATAAGTGTTTCATAAATATCAAATTAATTCACGAGTAATAGGTTTCGTGTGACATGATACGATGCTACACAGACGTATTTGTTCATCAAACTCACACAACTCCCATTTAAAATACAAGCTACTACACTCCCATACACATATAACAAGTAAATCCCAATAGAAATTATTCATAATAGTGCTTCAATTGAGAACACAATTATTTGTAATTTCATAGTAAAGACAACCAGATGCCCCAATGTCTCAGACCAGACACAGATGTTCTTATGTCAAAGTGTCTGTTTTAGCTTAAGCTCTGCTCTCCATATCCACACTTTAAAAAGTCCACAGAAAGTTATAGACTTTAGTAGAGATGCTCTAGATACCTGCATCACACAACAAACTCCCTCAAACCAACCAAAACACCCTGGAGTTCTGTTCTGCTTGTCATAAAGGTGAGGAATCACCTCGTTGACTTCCAGATCAGGTTGTTTCTTACATACTAGAAGAGAACAAATAGATTTCTCTAGTAACAAACAACAAACCCTCAGAAATTCCTAAAATAAGAAGTAAAACACCTATCTAGATTGACTGAATTTGAGGCCTTCAGTTACTTCAGTTAGTGCTTATAAACGAGGTATTATGCTTCCATAATGATACCCAGTTGCCTCATCCAAAATCAGACTACCTTGCATATGCCTGCTAAAGGAAGATTTATTTAAAAGTGATACTTCTTTATTTTAATTCAAATTACAGTAATTTCTTCAGACTTGCAGAGGCTACTCTGCACACTAAGTGTTGGATAACCTAGGAAGACCTTTCAACTTCAATACCACATGGCATGAGCCAACATTAAATACATTTAAATTATTTAGGCTAATGGATAAAAAGCTTTAAAGAAGAGCATTCCAAATCCCTGATAAATGAACTCTGTCAGTTTTTGCTTTATTTTTCCATTTTATTTATATTCACGCCATCTGGCTGTATTGATCATGCAGTTAAACAATCTTGTGTTTTTTCAGATGAAGTAAATTCAAAACTAATTTGTATGATCATTCAGTAACACACATGCTCTTGAGTGATTCGCAGGTGTCAGCTATGAAGTCACTTACTGACTCTTGTAGACTGAGCTCCGATTTACAGAAAACACGTTCTGGAACAACTATCCAGGAGGCCAAACAGACAACCACGCCCAAGTCCATGGATCTCTACTCATTTATTGGACTTTATATAATATGCCTAATTTCTGCAAGCCTCAAGTTTCAACTGATCTGTTTAGAATTTGTATCAGATTCCACATCCCAAACCACAGAGACACACACCAACAGAATGGAGTAAGTGAACAAACTAAAAAAGTTACTTATGCTAAAAGTTCTATATCATCATAAACCACTTGCTCAAAAGGCCAGATTTATAGGAAATAAAATCGGCAACTGACAAAGCATGATAAAGCAACATTAAAAAAGACTGCTAAAAATAAACAGCCATTAATTTCCAAGTGCTATGGTAGAACTGTTTAAGTGACAATAATCTTTTTTCCATGTTTTCAGATAAATTTTAATGGGCATACACAGATCATACATGCTATTTCCAGCCTCCAGCCTTATTAAAGATTCAATCTGTTCCTTAATACAACCAACAGGTAGCTCTAGATCCAAAGCTTTATAAACAATTACCTTTATTTTGTAATTTCACCAGATTTTGACCCTTAAAGTCACACACAGTAAAATGAGCTACTGTTTTTACAAGAAGAGATGGAGGTGTCAGGGTAAAAAAAAGGGGAGGTGAGACTTTTAATTTTTAGTCATAGATTTTAATCCACCATTTTAGGCATCAAAATGTGTTTTTTCTTTTTTAAAACAAAACTACAGGAGAACTGATAAACCAACAAACAGATGAAAGTGTGATGGGAATCTAGAACAGAACTGCAGTAACCAAATGACAGTAAAAGGCCTTCTCTATATCTAAATCTATTCTGCAGTCAAGTTTTATGTGTATCCAATTCATACCATATTCATTATCATTTATAGCTGGCACACCTATGCATGGCCTCCAGTGTTTGGAATTAGACCAGCTCCTGAAACTCTTCAAGAAGTACTGCTACAGTTCCTACCACTGATTGAGCCATACATGAGTCACCACCACAACATCACGGGCATTTGTGCAACTCCGTCACTTATAAATACTTTAAAATTACTATCAGAATATCAAGGTCCCAGTCATTCCCATGTTCTTACTGCTTGTGATCACCTAATATCAGCAACAGTAGGTTTGGGACGGGGGGGGGGGGGAGGCGGGAATGTTGGTTTGCTTTTTAAAGGTTTGTGCAACGGTTTATAACTAGTTCTGTACACGTCCTCTCTAAAGCATCATCTTCTCTTCAAAACGACCACTGTGATGCCTTATATTGAAAGTCAAGTTTTAGATACTCATCTTCATCCATCCCCTAAGAGGACAAGGTTGAATAACAAAAAGTAAAATACTAATACGAAATCTTCTCTCTTGCTTTCAACAGATCCCTGTACAGCATTATTAACACCACGGTCTGGCTTCAACTCCGTAAAAAATTTTGCCCTACAACTAGATCAAAACCAGACCTTCCTCGGGACTTCCACAGATGCATGTCAGCCTGTCCACACCCAACAAATTGCAGGACCTGGGCCTGTCACCGTATCAGCATAAATTAGGACTTGTCAAACAGGTAGGACATAGCAACAGAACATATTTTATGAGCATAAAGGTAACTGTTTCCACTGTCCCACTCCACAACGAAAGAAAATAATAGTAATAATCACAAGCATGCCATTTTCCCCCCCCTTTATTTTGGGAGGCTCTCAGCCGGCTTTTCATTCTTTAGACATCCAAGGTAACTTCACAGAAGACAGAGACTAACGTGATAGAGGAAGGAGCTTAGAAGCGGGACCTGTCAGGCAGGGACAGCAGCATGTGCCGCGTCAGCCCTCCCCTGCCCCCGCCCGCACCTGCGGCGGCCGCGCCGGGGGCACCGCTGCGACCCCGCACCGGGCCGCCTCCCCGCCCATTCCTACGCCAAACTCGGCTGGGGAAATAACCAAGTGAAACAAAAGGAAGGAGAGTTGGCACGGAGGGGAAAAGAGCCTGGCCCGGGGCCGCGGCGGCCGGGGAGGGGTCGGGTCGGGCGGCAGCGCCGGTTACCCGGGCACCATCTTGGGGGCGGCGGGGGGTGAGTGAGGACGCGGCCCCGCAGCGCCGCCGGGGGCCGGCCCGGCGCTTTACCTGCTCTGCCAGCCCTGCAGGAGGTTGGTGTATTTGCTGAGCGTCCCTTCCAGCACCGGCTCCCGCCGCCTGCCGCCGCTGCCGGGCGCCTGCGCGCCCCCCGGGCTGGCCGCCGCCGAGCCGGGGCTGCTGCTGCCGCCGCCGGCCCCCCCGCCTCCATCCAGCCTCCCCGCGGCCGCCACCCGGCCCGGGAGCCCGCGGCTGGCGGAGGAGGACGAGGGGGACGAGCCCGCCGACGTGGGGCGGCTGCTGCTGCGGCTGCTGCTGTTGCTGCCGCCGCCCTCGCTCGCCGCCGCTTTCTCCATGGAGCCCCGCGGCGGAGGCTTCCCGCCCGCTCCGGCCGCGGTTGCCGCCCGTGCCCGGCAAAGCCCTGACTCACAGGCGGCGCGGAGAGGGGCGGCGCCCGGGGGAGAAGGGGCCGGGCCGCGCCGGGCGAGGGAACCGCCGCACCGCCTCCTCGCCGGGCGGTGCGGGGAGTTGGGCGGCGGTCGGTGGCCCGCGGCTCCGCGGGGTCCCGCCCGCCGCCCCCCGGAGCGCCCCGCCCGCCCGGACCGGAGGCAGGGCGCTGCTGCGGCGCCGGGGGCCGCGCAGGGGCGGGGGCCGCACACGCGGAGGCACAAGGCGAACGGGGAGAGGCACAGCACGCACGCCGACTGCATGGTGCCCGCGGCCGGCACACGCCGTGCGACGCGGAGGGGCGACCCCGAAGGACACGGTGCCCGGGTGCGGGGCGGGCATGCAGACCCACGGCGTGGCAGGCGCAGAGCACACACCGACACCGCCTCCGGCCCCGGCGGCGGCACCGCGCCCCCCGTGACGCGCCCGCCACATGACACGCACTCACCCGAGGAGCGGCGGGATGAGCGCCGGGACACCGCCGGGGAGCGGGGTGCCGGGGCCATAAAGCGTGCCACTGACTGATACTCAACAAAAGCTGTGCCCACCGGAGCACAAAGCGGAGCGCCCGAGGTGGGGGTGCTTGGTACTGGCGGGTGCACATCAGTACCCCTCACCGTGGAGCGTGACACCAGGGAGGTGGCTGTCCGTGCTGCAGTAACCCAGCAGCACGGCTGTGTCCGCATACATGAGGTAGGTGGTATGCCCAGCAGTCAGGAACCCAATATTCTTGCTCAACCCACAGCGGATAATGTGTATCAACAGACCATATATAATCCATCCAGACTTTGCAAAACAAACATTATTGTAAAGCCACATTTCCTGAAAACAGAGGATTTAACCTCAAGATGACTATTAAAAAGCTAAGCAGGTCCTTGTACAGTCGGCTTTGTACAAAGCTATGGGGTTACATACCCTCAAATTACTTCTATGGCTATCCTTGCTGCATCCATTGCAAGTGCCTCCGTTACAACGTGTATCTTCAGAGCACATCAGAGATGTAAGTATTCTTCTTGACCTTTAATACTGGAGAATTAAATATAGGGGAGACTCAGAGAGTCTATGAAAAGTATAAATTTAGCTCCTGTGCTTTAACCCTGTGGAAAGTTTAGCAGTCCTGTGCAGTAGAGACTTGTTGAGTGTAGTATCATGTGCGCCCTGTGTGATCACCTCAGAAGATAGTCAAACCATCTGAATCCACACACAGATGTCTACATTCCCTATAAAAATCAGCATGGAGTGGTGGGATCCTAACTTAGATTCTCCCAGTTTTCTCTCTGGAAAATCCTACCATATGTGTTGTGGTTGGGTAGCTGAAGTGTTGGGCAATCTGATCCTGAATTTTGGGTGGTTAAACTTCTCATGTTGTAGCTAAATACTGGAAACTTGAATTTTGATATTTCTTTGGTGAAACATTTAATGCACATCTCTTACAGTACAGACAAAGATTAGGAATTCAGTTAATTTTTAAAACAAAATATTTTAGAGTAAATATTTTCTCAAGTCAGAGCTGTTGATCGCGATGTTCATGTAAAATTACCCAATCATTGTTACTATGTAAAGAAACCTTCTTACCACACCCTGAAAATCCTCATTCTTAGGCTCAACTCTTCTTCTGATGACCACACTGTTCAGAAGACATTGGATGAACAAGGCATGTTTCTTCAGGAAGCTCAGATCCTGCTCGCATGGGTTGAGGACAAGATGCCTTCATTTGTCCTCATAATGTTACAATGGCAGCCCAAAACTGTGGAAACAATATGCTTTAATGAGGTAACTATGTCACCACATCAGCTACTGCAGCACATTACCTACCTGTGTTCTACATTATAGGTGATGAATGTAATATTTTCTGCCTTCCACAGAATCTGTTGGGAGATAATTCTGTCAGGAAAAGAAGCCGCCTGACACACGAATAGAGATTCTTCTCATACTTTTCCAAACAATAAAGCTCAAGTAATAATGATGTGCTTGTCAGGGAGTTTCTGAAATAAAAGGGATAATAGTCTTTAAGTATATTATATACTCATGAGAGTTTTTCAGAGTCATAAAACATGCTTTCATGCTTCTAGAAGGATTGCTGTGATGTGATAACATAGAAAGTCCTCCTACAAGTTATAAACTAGTTAATAGATGGCAAACAAAACACATGAATAAATGGCCACTTTTCAAATAGAGGGTAACCACTAGGAGTTACTCAGTTACTCAGTAACCCCTCTGTTACTCAGTATCTTCTTAAATCAGAGTTAAAACTAAAATCAAATGCAAAAAAAAATAGCAGAAGGATCTAACAGTAGTGACTAAATCACTGATAAAATAGCAACTGAAATTTAATGTTGCTAGAAACCAAAGTAAAGCACATGCGGAGAAAATAGTTTTTACTATGCATGCATTATGATCTATAAATTAGCTATAGCCTCTTAGGCAAGAGATCTTGTAGACATTTTAAATAGTCCTCTGAAAACCCCATCTCAGTGTTCAAGGGTAATCAAACAAACAGCTGTGATGAGCTCGTTAGGAAAGACAGAAATAACAGCTTGCTGCTATATAAATCCGTAGTACAGCCAGTATCTGGATACTCTGCATTTATAATCTTCCTTCAAAAGGGACAGAGTAAAAAGAGAAAATGTGTAAATGCCAGCTTTTTTATGAGGAGAGAGCTCACTGAGCAGGGTTTTCAGTTGAAAAAGAAACAATCAGTGTACAAAATTATATTCAGATTAATAGGAGTGATTCTTCACAGTTTCTCATGAAACAAGAACTATGGAGGAACTGGTTTAAAACAAGTACAAGAAACTACTTTCTCACATGGTTTATACTCATAAAACTTATTGTTGTGAGATGGTTTTGGATGCCAAACATCTAGAAAGATTAAAAAAGCAATTGTTTTTAAGAACCTTTAAACAAGGTTGACCAAAGTGTTTTGGATATATTTGAAGTTCAGAAAGGCTCTAAATTTCTGACTCCTTGAAGACTATTTACTTTATAGTAAATAGATTAAATAATCCCTGTCCTGTTCTTTCTCTAGATCTTTATCTAAACACATACTTACGGAAGGAATAAAGTACTGGACTAGAGGGACCTTTAGTTTAATCTATGGTATAACTTTTCATATAAATATGAATATATAAATACATAAATATGAAGGAATGCTAAGGATTCCTTCTTCTTGGTTAACCAAAGGTCCTTTTGAAGCACACATTTGCACTGTATGCAGCTTTTATATTGTATAGATGGCATTATGTTGTAGAATGTGTCATTCCTCTCATCCCTTTTCCCTTCCCAATTTCTACCTATCATTGCAATCCAACAGAGCTGGACAACCTTTCATAGCAATTTTGATATCAGTGAGCCCCTAGCCCCATTTATTTGAAGTTATTAACGTTCTTCAAAATGTCCAAACCTGCACTTATTTTACTAGCTAATTGTCTGTCCCAGTAGAGTTAGACTTCAGGGTGATACACACTGACTTGGTCTGATGCAACATTGCATGATGTATGCTTTGTCACAAGTATTCCTAATTAGCTATTTATTAATGCAACCTGCCTTATGAAGGTTCATACTGTTTCCAAGGTAACACAGCTGCTATGTTACAGTCCTCCTTTAGAATGTTCCTTTCACTCTCCAACCAAACCAAAATTTTGCTTCTTTCATTGAGAATGCAAAAGAATCAAAATAACTCATTATTTATCCCACCTTTTAGAAAGCAACTGTTTGTCTTTGTCAGGAAACAGAGGCATTTCTCTATCCTATGCTAAGCTACACAGTTTTAGCTTCTAGAACAAAGTCAGCTCTTAATCCATTTGCTAATTTATATTTCCTGGACATCTTGGCTTGGATTTCTCTACCTTTTTAGTACCCTCTTAGCAAACAGTTTTCATGAAGGACTTTGCAATTTCTTTTTACCTCCTCCCTCCACCAGATTTCAACTCAATTTCTCTCCATCGTAATCCTATGGAGGAATTAAGCCAAATGGTCTACAGAAACTACTTCTGTCCAGGCTACAGTCAGACACTGAACATATTACATGGAAATACCCCAAGGCTTGCTCAGTTTTACCATCTCCTCCTTCTTGCCCTCCTCCTGAGACACTGCTTTATTTCTCATGGGCTTTGGAGACTAAATCCATCTGTCACTAAACTTAAGGCAATACTTAGGGCAAAAACATACCTCTATGCACTTCTATCAGCACTGTCTATAGATGACAGCACCATAATGACTCTTAAATGATCCCTAAAGTTCAGCTCATGCCACGGTGATGCCATCTGCACCAAGCCTGCTGTCATTAATATTTCCCCAATGGTCTACAGTGACTGGCAGAGAGTGAATGGAGCAGGTGGCACAACGTGCAGCAGCGGCATGTCCTCCAGTCCTTCCTTAGATCCAGTGCTGTAGATTACTGAATTTGAAAGGTTAAAAGAGGCAGTGACTCCTCTAATCTGACCTTTTTAATAACTTAGTATGAGAATTGTAGTGTTCTGTCTTACATGATTGTTTCACTTAGATTTAACCAGCTCATCATCCATGAGTAACACTTCTGACCTGAGAATTTCAAGAACACAAAGAAACTGCCACTAAGTTTGCAGTCTGCCAACTTTAGGATTAGCTTTGCTGAACCAGTGTGCATTGTATCCTCCCTCCCTGGTGCCTGTAAGCCTGCAATGTATGATAGACATGCTGCTTTGCCACACTTCATGCTGTTGTCAGCAGCTTCTCATCCACCAACCATCCTCCAAACCTCACCTAACTCAAAGCCAGTGACAGGGAAAGCCAAGAGAGATACGGCATATGGAAAGAGTACCCAAACTACCTTTGCTGCCAGAAACAACTGAGACCAGGAAACAGATACTTGTGTACAGGTTAATTTACTCTATCATGAGGCCTTGCAAATTCATGTGGACTGAGGTTTGTGCTGCCACAGCTA